GGCACACCTGGATTCGTAGAAACTGAGACTGGAAGTAAGACAGCCGCCAACCTCTTCATTGGGGTTTCTACTTTTCACTCCACAGGGGCTCCATTCCCCCGTCACAGACGGACTTCCTCTTATCCTTCATTTCAGGTCCCTCATTCCTTAACTTGCTCAAAGCTTCTCAACCCCATGCCACCCCCCTTGCTGCATCCTCCTTTATGCTCCTACTGCTAATTGCCTTCGTCTTTCGATTTTCCAACTGTGAATTCCTGAGGGAGGACCGACACGTATTTTCAAGCCTGGTCATAAATGTCATAAATTGCTTTCAAGCTACAATAGGTCCCACTGAGGGAAGTACCCAGATATGGTTCAAACATCTGTAGCCAGTTGGAGTGGGAATACCCTTCAAACAGATACCCTCAGGCATAATGTGGAGAATATCCTAAGCACTCATAACAATCGTGAATGAGAGTCATTATTTATACTCACTTTATTGACTTGAAAACAGAGGTTTAGAGAGGTGACAAAATTTGTCCAAGAAATTAAGTGGCAAAGCTGGAATGTGAACACAGCCTGCCCGACTAACAAACTCCAAGCCTCCATTTTTATTATCTTTCCTGACTTCCAGGCTGAGTAATGTTCTTGCTATTCTCTACTTCCTAAAGCTTAGAACTCTTCTCGTGGGTTCTGTGATACTGTACTCTTTTGGTTTTGTATTTTCCTGATGGCTCCTCCATTCCTTTTAATTCTTTGTTCTCTTTCCAATTTAAAATGGAAGGGTTCTCCAAGGGACTCTTCATGGCTCCTTCTTGTTTCTTTCTATACTTTCTTTTTAGGCAAATTCATAGGCTTTTACATATTTGGATACAGTCGGACACTATGGTTTCTTAAACTGGGGTTCTTGGGCACACATGCCCTCCCACCCTACCCAAGAGACTTGTGGATAGAATTTAGGGAGTTCATGAATTTGAATGAGAAAAAAATTAATGTATTTATATTTTCATTAAATTCTAACAGAAATTTACTAATTCCAGGGTGCCTGGGTGGCTCAGTCAGTTAGGCATCTGACTCTTGATTTTGCCTTAGGTCATGATCTCAGGGTCGTGACATCCAGCCCAGTGTTGGGCTCTGCGCTCAGTGGGGAGTCTGCTTGAGATTCTTTCTTCCTCTCCCTCTGCCCCCTCCACCCCCACGTGCCTGAGTGCCCTTTCTCTCTCTCTCTCTCTCAAATAAATAGATAAATCTTTAAAAAGTCTACTAACTCCTTCAATTATGAATGTAGGCAACAAGCCACTGTATAGGAGCAGACATCTGTGACCTTGTTACCAATAGAAATCATAGGTATTTTAGTATTTTCCAACTGTTGCAAATATTTTAAAATTTTTTTTTTCCCATTATACTTCAAAATCATAGTGGCTCACTCACACCTGTCAGAATGGCTAAAATCCAAAACACAAGAAATAACAAGTGTTGGCGAGGATGTGGAGAAAAAGGAACCATCTTGCGCTATTGGTGAGAATGAAAACTGGTGCAGCGACTGTGGAAAACAGTCTGGAGGTTCCTCAAAATGTTAAAAGTAGCACTACCATATGATCTAGTAATCGAGCTACTGGATATTTACCCCCAAAATACAAAAACACTAATTCAAATGTTTATAGCAGTATTATTTACAATAGCCAAATTATGGAAGCAGCCCAAGTGTCCATCAATAGATGAATGGATAAAGAAGATGTGGTGTATATATACAATAGAATATTATTTAGCCATAAAAAAGAATGAACTCTTGCCATTTGTAACAACGTAGATGGAGCTAGAGAGTATAATGCTAGGTGAAATAAGTCAGTCAGAGAAAGACAAGTACCGTATGATTCCACTCATATGTGGAATTTAAGAAACAAAACAAATGAGCAAGGGGAGAAAAGAGAGAAAGATAGATAAGCCAAGAAACAGACCCTTAACTACTGTGAACAAACTAATGGTTACCAGAAAGAAGGTTGGGGGGGGATGGATGAAATAGGTAATTTACACAACATTATATATCAATTATATCTCAATAAAGCAAAGAAAAAACGCACGCTAGCCAGATGTTCTATCATGACTTATAAAGGGGCTCAAGTCTTGGGTAATGCAGGAGCAACTTTCCTAAAGCCTATTGACCTACTCAGTTTTCTGAGTTCTGTCTTTAAGCTTTGGCTGCCTGCTTTATCTGCAGACTTTACTTGTCAGATGGGCACCTAATCCTCCTAGTGGTATGATACCCTGTGGTATTGATCTTGGACCTCTAGTTTATATCCCAGATTGCTTTCTACTCTCACTCACTCTTCCATGTTGTTTACTGACTCTGGATCTCAACTCCACCCTAGCTGTTGTGGGTTTCTGGACTGCTAACAGTTTGTCCTGCATACAAGTTCTAGAGATAAACTTTTTCACCAGCATGGAATAAAAAGAACTATTACCAGAGTGCTCTTAAAGTATAGCTGTTATCATATCCTTTTCTTCCTTGGAATGCTTACAAATTCAATTTAACTTCTCAGTGACTGCACAAAAGAGAAACCTATTTAAGGTGGCTTAAGTAAGATGAAGAATTTATGATATGGATACAGTGATATTATGCAGGCCTTAAAAGTAGCGGTGGAGGAACAGGTTGAGCCATAAACAAGGATTGGCAAACATTTTTCTGTAAAGGGCCAAATAGTAATTGTATTAGGTTTTGCAGGCCATATGGTTTCTGTCACTCCGCCACAGACAATATGAAAAGAAATGTGTTCCAATAAAACTTTATCCATAAAACACACAATTTGCCACACAGGTCAGAATTTTAGGATCCTTGGACAAAAACATTATCAGGATTCTCTGAAACTCATCTCTATCACAGCAGACAAAACCTGTCTGCTTTGTTGTTCTCTTCCTACTGACTAGCTTCTTCAGTTTCTCTGGTTCTCATGTTGAAACATGGCTTCTGAAAGCTTCCAGCTTCCATGTCACAAGTTAAAGTTTAAGCTCTTTCTTTCCCAGTGCTAATTCCAAATCCTTAGGGTAGGGATGTTGCCTGGCCGAGCTTAGGTCAGGTGTTCACCCCTAGACAATTAGCTGTGGCTAACTGAGCTCTGGGTCTTGCTATATGAACAGGGCTTTGGGGCACCACCCCTACAACCTCTTAGATCAGAGCTGAGGAACAGATTTCACAAAAGGGCAAGGAGCTGGGCAGACAACTGGGGAGAGTCTCCTGCTGCATTCATTCAAACCTACATTTTCCACATTGTTCCTATTAGTCCCCTCATATCCCTTTCTGAAGCACAACCAAGTCCTTGTTGATCTCATAAACTCTGCACATTCTCACCCCTCATTCCCCCTATCTGCCAGCAGATATTCTACTCATCTTCAAAGTCTCTTCTAAAAAGCCACCCTTTCCTTTGTATCCACACAACAATCTATTGGTACAGTGTGTCTTGTTCTGTTGCTATTTCTGTACCTGTCTTTTTGTTTTGCAGACAATAGGTGCTCTGCTGACTGAGGAAATGACTTATTCAACTTTTCATCCACTTTGGTCTCTTTCAGAGAATAGGCTCTGAGTTTCTATTTGTTGAGTTTAACCGTATATTCACAGCTGAATAATTCCAAACTGAAGAAAATGTTGACTTTTAACAGTGGCAGTTACATAGGAAACACAGTATCTACTTTTAAGAAATTAATTTTATAAATATTCATTTCCACATGTATGGTAGCCAAATTAAAGTGCATATGTAGAGAGATATTAATTACAGCAAAAGTTATATTTAGTTATTGTTTATAAGAAGAAATAAAGTCCCATTAGGATCGAACCTTCTGTTAATGTACTAAATTAAAAAGGAATACTACAGAAGTGATGTAAGATAATAGGAAAGGTTATAAACTTGAAATATTAAAAATTGCTCTAAAAAGCAAATGCTCCAAAATGATTAGTATCATTCTGTGCAAGAAATGTACCAAAGAGCTAGAGACTTCATTATCTAATTTCTTTCTTTCTAGAACTATTAATTAACATCGTTCCCAGAACTCTGCTAAGCTCCCCTGCTGAAACGCGGAAAGTAAATACAGTAACTGCAGAGAAAACTGGTTCATTTCCACCAAACAGTGAGAGGCTTGGGCTTTTGTGAAACAGAAAACACTTGTTAAATAACTATTCCTAAACTATTAGCAACTACATGAAAGTTTTTTTATTTAACAGCATCCTCCTGGGAGACTGCGCTTGGAATGTGCATCGGGTCTGAAAAAGGCACAGATTTGGCTCAGTTGTAAATATTAGGTGCACAGAGGCGAAGCCATTGTGTAGAGTAGGGGGTGGGGCGGGTGGGGTCCTGATGCCCAATGTTGATAGAAGGATTCTAATTTCGCTTGGAATTTATTTTTTCTACTACAATTACAGTCTTGCTAAGAAAAATAGAATATCGCTTGTGCTCCCAGCTGGCTTCTAATTTTCAGCGTCTACAGATGAAGAAGATGTCTCATTTAACTAAAAGAATCACCTTTCTGCAATCTCCAGGGCCGCTGGAAAAACAGAAGCTCGCTCAGCCCCACCGCCCCCAACGCGGCCGCCTCTAGAGAGCCGGCCCGCTGCATCCCACCCCGCCCCACCCGCCGGCCGCAGGTTAGGGCTTGCCCCGCGCGACAGCGGCCTCAAAACCCCAGGTCTGCGAGGCTCGATCCCGTGTGTCGGCGTTTCTGCGTGGGGATGCTCCAAATCAGTAAACCACAACATAGAACCCAAGCTTGGACTCTGAACCAAACCCTCTTGCCTAGTTTTCTTTTTCTCGGTCTCGCAGGGATCCTCGCTACCCCTTGTCACAGCGTCTCCCCAGCCTCTCCCCTCCAACCACCTGCGCGCGTAAGCGATTCTCACGCAATAAGGGGCTGGAAAGAGCTCAGTCCACTAAGCACTCCATGCAGAGAACGAAACTACAACTCCCATCACGCCCCGCAGCCTGTTCCCTCCTCCTCTTCCCCTCCCCCTTCCTCCCTCGGCCAACGGCCGGGAGGCTCTGGGCTTTTATTTGCGGACGGGCGGGAGGGAGTCAGGTCCCCGCGAGCTTCCCCGACCCGAGCGTTCTGCCCGGCGGCGGCGGCGGCGGCGGCGGCTCTTAGCCGAGTTTTGCCTCCGCGTCCCCGCCAGCCCCGAGCCCGCGGGGGCAGACGGTCCGTCCCGGCGTGCGAGAGGATGGTGATCCGCGTGTTCATCGCCTCCTCCTCGGGTTTCGTGGCGGTGAGCACTGCGGGGGCTGGCAGCGGGCCGGGGTCGGGTCTCGGGGGGTCGCCGGCGCCAGGCGCGGGTCCTGCGGGAGGCGCGCCCCGCTCGCCCCTGCGCGTCTCGGTGCGCAGCGCGTCAGGACGCGGGAGCTCGCGCCCGGCAGGTGATCCATCACGCTTGCACAACAATGAACAGGGCGGGGAGCAAAGGTGGGTGGGGGACCCCAGCTCCCCCACAGGCCCACTCTGCGCGGTCTGAGAGGGAGACAGCGCTGCGGGAAAATGGAGGCTGCGGGAAGCCCCCGGCTCCAGTAGTGTGGCTCGGGAATTTGGAGAAGGGCTAGTCTGAGAGCTTCGGGGGTCCCGCTTCCCTTGGTGTTAGTTCTTCCCGATTTGGGACATTCAGCCTGCTTATATTTTGTATAACCAGCTTTTATCTAGGCTGCTTAGCTACCTAGCTCCTGAATGAAACAAGTTTAAGTAGTAATTGCTCTCCACCCTCCCTTCCTCGCCACCCAGTACATTTCTTTAGTTTTATACCTGCGCAAAGAGAACTGTAAACTAGGTTTGTCCTGTCGTGCCAGGATTTTCTTGTTTAGTCTTTTTTTTTTTTTTTTCCCTGCCTTGGATGCTATGAATATTTTTACATCTTTATGTAAATGTGTGTGTTTGGTTTCTTTACCTTTGTAGTGCCGTGGTCAATTTCATCTTAAGGATGTATAAATTGTGGTCTAATTATCTTAAGCTGTTTTGTTTGGTCGATATTATTGATTTTTTTTCTTTTTTTTTGGGAAGAGAAATTAAATAGCTGGGTGTCAGACTGTAAGGAAAAATTCAGTAGTATACTTGATAGCCCACTGAGTAAGACATGTTTTACATGATTATTAAGACTTGGTTTCCTTAGTAAGAAGCTATAGATTTAAGACGTTCTTTGGTGAGATATATAATCAAATACATCAAAAACGCAATATTGATTGCTTAAATTTGATCTGGTCAGTTGCCTGCCCAGCAACAATCAGATTGTCCCAAAATTTGTTTCTGAAGCAGGTGGGGTGGAGGATGGAATAAAATATTGTTTGTAAATCCTTATAAACCATGGAGACTCTTTATTTAAAAAGAAATCAACACTGTAGTACAAAAAAGACCCCCTTTTCATTAGGAACAATAGATGGGAAACTCCACCTTATCTTTATATGCAGGCGTGTGGTGGTCCCCATACTCCTGATAGTTTTGGTTATTTCTAGTTATTTGTGGTTGCTTAGTCATACCTATCTTTTACAGATTTCTCTACTGAACTACACTTCAGTGTCAGGAAACTCATACTGTTTTGTGGATAGATTTTTTTCAAATGCACTTCTTCATAAGAATGCTACAAAGCTTTTGGTTTCACCACAACTTGTATGCTTCAGTAATTATTACAGTAAGTAATTATTACAGTAGCATTTTATTGATTATGGAAGGGCTGATCTGTAGTATTAAGCCTAGGTTATGTTGGATAAGTCAAAGTCAAATTACTTGGCTTATCCTGTCAGCAGGTAATATCCCAAGATAGTTCTGCAATTTTGTATCTCTATTTCCTGAAATCCATTAAGAAGTATTTCTTGTCTGCATATGTCCTTTTTTAATTTTTAAATACACTGTTATGCGTTTTGCACATGAAGCTAGACTTAAGAGACCTAAGTTTTAATTCAGGCTCTGGCTAGTAGTGTAAGCTTGGCTAAGGTGCTCCATCTCTGCCTAAGTTTCTCTTCTGTAGGCTGTGATGTATAGGCTGTAGGATGTGTAGGTCCTGAAGGATTGTGATGTATAACTCAGAATTACATTCTAACTTTAACCTGTTCTGATTTCATCAGTTGGGTAAATGTGGATAAATCCTTGTAACAGCTTTTTTTTTTACTTTAAATTTATACATATTAACCTCAAAGTGAGTTTATTCTTGTGCTTTGGTGTTTTACTGTGATGTTTCAGGTTCCCTCACTGCCCTGCCCGGTAGTATGTGTTCTGACATGGTTTGATTTGAGCTGGAAGGCATAATTTGTTATCACGTATGTACAGCCCATAAACTGTAATTGTCTATTTTAATGGACCTAACTTTTTTAGGTCTCAGACAATCGTCAGTCAGTAAGTCCAATTGCAATATTATCTCTTACCTTAATACACAGTTTTTCTGTAATAATGTAATGTTGATACTTTTGGTGATGATAAGTATATGCTTATATGCAAGAATAATGATTTCTAAGAGATAATGAAGTTGTTTAGGTTAACTGTTGGCCTGGGGAGGTTAATGGGGCTTGTAGCATTAAACTATATTAAGCTTTGATGGCATAGCCATAATGTTTTCCCTCCAGCAGTGTTGTGTTGACCATTGGCACTGTTTTATCTGGTGACCAGCTGTGACTAGCAAGTGCATGGGAGAACAAGTAATTTGATTTCCAAATCGGTTTGGTTCTAGCTGAATTTTTTTAACCCACAAGGAAGTATGTAACTAGAAATTGACTTTGCTAAGTCAGTCCCTGGTATTACCAAAAAGGTGTTCTGCCCCAGTCAGCAGTAGATTTAAACAATCTAGAGAAAATCCTCATATCTTGTCTGACTTCCCTGAATTCTCCAGCTTTAACACATAACAATGATATTTGGGATAATTAACACCAAGGGATGGAAGGTTGCCCTTTTATCCGCCCCAGCTCCAGGTAAAATCTGCTTTTACTAGGAAATAAAAGACATGCCACATTATTATGCTGTGGATACCTAAAAAGCAGATTTCTTATGCAGCTGATAATGTTGCTCTCATTCATATTGTAGTGAAGGACGTTTATTTCAGTCCTCAGAAAAGAGTATATTCCAAAAGTGCCATTTTAAAATTTAATTTATTCTGGTTGTATACCCAGAAGGGGGTGTCCTGGTAACTTTATTCAGGAAGTATATTAATATGACTTTTAAATTTAAAAATATTGAAATCCATCAGTTACTTCACTCATTCATTATTTTATTCATTCAACAAGTATTTTCTAAGGGTCTGCAGCTTGCCCAGCTCTGTCCTTGTTCTTGTGGGGAACTGGAGAAGAATAGAGGATGTGGTCTCTGCTCTCAAGAAATTTAGGTGGGGACCGGGTGGGGCAATAAGATAGGAAAGCTAAAACCACCAGTAATAAAGTACAGCCCAAGGACACTTGCCTCTTTCAGAACACATTTATCAGAGATAGGAATAATATAGGGGCAGAGGGATACATTGCAGGATGTCAGATAAGGAGGAAATGTGCCAGAAATCATAAAATATGCATGTGGGAGCCTTAGGCAGATGGCAGGGAGAGGAATTGAGTTAGATTTGGAGCCCGGGAGAGAGTGCAGGGCCCACCTTGTTCAGGCTGGAAAGGGAGGAGTTTTGGGTAGAAGAGGGCAGGCAGTGGATGTCCCTGTGGACCTCATTTGAGGACGGGGTAGACTTTCAGTTCCTGCAAGAAGCCCATGATAACAAGCTCTGTAGTGCTCAGCATCTCAGAGATGTCTTCAGTATTTACGGCTTGCGTGCTGTCTGGAGCCTTTTGTCCCCAGGGAACAAGGGACTTTCTGGCAGGGAGGGACCCCTGGTATGTGATTTTAGAAAAATCTTTACCCCTGTGCTTGCTTTGACTAAAATGTCTCAAAAAAAGAAATACAATCTTTCACTCTTTGTTAAAGTTTCTGGGCTCAGTTGAGCTGGAGGAAAACCTAAAGTGGTTTTCTTGCAACATCCAACCACCTAAAATCACAGAGAAGGAAATTTGGGCATAGAGATTAAGGGGCTTACTCTGAGGTCATTTATGTCAGTCACTGCAGAACTAAGGAAGGGTTAAATGGACACCAGGTCTCCTGACTTCCTGAAGGTATTCATGCCTGTGTTCATTCAGCAATGCATTCATTCATGCATTGATTGACTCTGGCATTCATCAATCATTGAAAACCTACTAAGTACCAGGCTCTGTGTTAGGTGCTATTAGGTGCTACTAGGTGCTAGGTGTATGTGAGCGCCAGGAGAAAGACTTAAATGCCGGCCTTATGGCACAAATCAGGGCTAACTCTCCACAGCTCAAAGACTTGGGATACAAACCATTTCAGCAAGGAGCATGAAGGGCTGATATGAGCTTGGGCAGTGTTAGCGTGAGCACGGTGAAATGGATGGTATATCCTTGGATATTGGAGAGGGGCCATCACTGGGAGGAAAAGATACAAAGAAATTGGAAGCCAAGTTGATAAACATAGAGCTTTGCCCATGGCCGCTGCTATATTTTCCAGGGGGGATGAGAGTAGCCAGCAGAACTCATAGAGACTATGCTCAGAGTTGTCTGGATCTTTGCAACTGTAGAAGGCATACCCTACTGGTTTGCATGGCATAACTATTTTAAAACATGTAATAACCAGTGAAGCTGTTGCATCTCCACAGAATGTATTCAGTGAAGCTTCACTGTGTGAGGAGGCCCCGGCAAGGAGTTCCAAGGCAGTTAAAGTCAGGATATGACCATGTAGAATAGACTAAGACTGGGCAGTAATTCCTAAGTGATTCTAATGCCAGAAGAAGCTAGTGAGGGTAAGTCTGGGTCATCAGCCTCTTTCTTTCTTTCTTTCTTTCATTTATTTGAGAGAGAAAGTGCACAAGCATGCGCATGAGCCAGCAAGCATGAACAGGGGGAGGGGCAGAGGGAGAGAGAGTGGGACAAGCAGACTCCCCACTGAGCACAGAGCCTGATGCAGGGGCTCCATCCCAGGATGCTGAGATCATGATCAGAGCCAACCCTTAACTGACTGAGCCACTCAGGCATGCCTCATTAGCCTCTTTAACTCATTGGATCTTCAGAGTCACAGGGCAAGGTGGTTATTTATTCCCATTTTTACAGATGAAGAAGCTGAAGTTAACTGCCCTGATGAGATCAGACATAGTAGATGGTGGGATCCTGAGTCAAACTCCAGCTGGCAGTTTCCAGAGCAGTTCTCCTCTGTGGGCACCATGGCACCCTGGGGGAATGGGAGTACCAGGGATGC